CATTGGCCTAGGGTCCCTACCTTTTATTTTCAAAGGCAGTCATGGGTGTCCAAATCATCCTAGATTACTGCCTCTTCTGTGGCATCTGTTACTTTTAATGGGGAAAGCGCTCGGTTGACATTGAAAAGGTAACAAAGGCTTCATAAAATATTTTTTTTTCACTCTGTGGAAGGAATTGTGTGTACGTGCACGTGTGTGTGTGTGTGTGTGTGTGTGTGTGTGTGTGTGTGTGTTTTGCTTATGTTAAGTACACACATCAATCATCAGACATGTATCCTATGGGGATATATACAATTAAATCCTAATTAAGTAGTAGAATAAAATCTCTATTTTTTAAATATTCTGGAAAAAACTGTGAAAGGTTTTTATAGTGTTGGCAATGAGAACAAGGTTTGATGTCTTAAATTAGGAAAAAAAATATATCCACACTCTAAATAACCTTTGCCTTTGAAGCTCTCCGAGAATTACAGCCAAAGACTATAAATGCTCTAGCACCAGTCTCTGAAATCACCTTTTATACTGTCTAAATGTTTTTTTTTCTGAAATCAAGTCCAAAACATGCTCTTTACAAAACTGTAAAATAATATCTTTTAGCCTAATAAGTACAAAGTAATTTGATACTGCAGCAACATAGAATTAACACAGGATTAGCAATAAAGTTTGTATGTCTGTATTTATAACATTTTATTTATTTCAAGACAGACTTCTCATTCTCACTGAGTCTCTATGAGGCTGGGTGATGTCTTACAACTTTTTTAATACAAGAAATATCTGTGACATGATGAAGTTTTCATTGCCTTTCCATTAAGATCTGGAGAAAATAGGTATCAGTAGCTGAGAAGCGAATCCTTGAGACAGCATTGGCTGTATTTAGAAACACCTAATGATCAATCATCTTTATTAACAGAGAACACACTTTTATCAAAATCACTGTTATTTCTTTTTCTATGCAGCAGGTGAACACATTCTGTAAATTTTTATAGTTTTTACTAGCTTTCTTTTTTATTTTTGAGATTATAATATAATTAGGTTTCCATTTTTTTCTTTTGCTTTTTGAGATTATAATATAATACAATATAATTAATAAAATATAAATTAAACTAATAATTTCTCTTTTCCCTTAACACTTACACCTAAGGCTCAGGGAACATTGCTGAAGAGGGGGTGGAACAAGCCAGAAGATCATAGGGTTTCCTGAGAGATTGTGTTTTCTAGTAAAAATGCTTTTCTTGATCACTGATAATTATGGTGGGAAGCAGATCTCCATGGTGCTACAGTGATAGCTGAGAGCTTTACACTGATCCACAGGCAGGAAAGAGAGACTGGGCCTGTGCTGGGATTTTAACAACTCAAGCCCATCCTCAGTGACACACCTCTTTCAACAAGGCTACATCTACTCCAATAAGGCTAAGTGTCCTAATTGTCCTCTAACAGCTCTACCAACTAGGCTCCACTTATTCAATCACAAAAGCCCATGGAGGCCATTCTCATCCCACCCACCACCATAGTTGCTACACAAATGGCCCTTTGCTATGGTTTGGGTCACGTCTTTGTCTTTTCTGCCACTGGATTCATGCGTGGAAGGTCTAACGTCTAAACTTCAGTACACTGGAACGCCATCTTATTTAGGACCACAGCTGTAGGAAGAATGAGTTAAAGATGCAGTCAGGTCAGGCTGTGAGCCCTTGCTCACATGGCTAGGCATAAGATACTGGCTTCTAATCCCCTACTCTGCAAAAATAAAGCAACAAAAGGAAAAGACAGGGAAAAAATGAAATGAGATTAGAGTAGGACATACATTCAACCCAATATGTCTAATGTCTTCATAGAAGAGGAGATTTTGTACAGACACATGAACAAGGGAGTATGAGACCTGATTAGAACTGTGCTGTGTGATCCAGAGAATTGCCAGAAGTTGGAAGAAAATCCAGGAAAGCCTTCCCTAAGGCTGTCAGAGGGAACAAGGATTGGAAAACACATTTTACCCTCCAGAATGAGTCTTTTGTTGCTAGCCATCCCATTTATGGTTTCGTTGTGGTGGCCAAAGCAAGCGAACACCCTCTCTCTCTCTACTTCATGAGATGGCATCATAATGTGAAATCACTATACAACAAATCTTTTCATGCTTAATTTAAAAAATTGAACGGATTATTACCTCCTTTCAAAGAAAGATTTTTGCCTTCTGTTGATGTCCTATATTCTTGAGTACATCAAATTCCAGAGATTCCCTACCCTAGAGTTATCATTACTGATACTATATCTTGCTATAAATATTGTGGAGAATTTATGGCACAAACTGCCTTTAGCTGAAGAGAAAAGTTGTCACATGCCTTAGGCTGTCTTTTTGACATTTTTTTAAAAAAAGAATGTAACTTATTATTTGAAAAGGCCACATAAGGTGCTAAAAGATGGCTCCATAGTCATGAGTTCTTGAGGGCCCTGGTTCAGTTATCTGCAGCTACAATGTGGCTCACAACCATCTGTAACTCCAGTTTCAGGAAATCTGATGTTCTGTTCTGGCCTCCATGGATATCAGGCATGCAAGTGGTACACATACATGCACATACATACATATATACAAGCAGGCAAACCACTCATACATGTAAAGTAAAAACAAGTAATTCTTAAAAACAAAAAAGAAAGTCATGTGATAAAATGTTTCTGTCCAATAGGGCAGCCTCCCCCAGCCCCCAGCTACCTCTCACTACAGGTGGGCACAGCTATATATACTCTGAAAGACTTAAAATGAGAACAAAACACAACATGAATTAGGAGACAACAATGAACAAAATGTTTGGCATTTCTGTGGCATCATTGTCTAGTCACCTTACAGAATGCTTTTCAACACCAAGTCACAACTTGTGTTGGGAAGAAATTAATTTCACTTGACTCAAATGACATTGATTTTTCCTTTTACAATCCTTCGCAGACATACCCATTCCTTCTCTTTGTAGAGTGATTGCCACGGGTCTTGACCTCACAGTTAGTTTACCGTGTATAGCACTGTCATGTGTAATGTCCAGTTTCATTATGACTTCAGTTTGCTCATTATAGTGCTATACATTCTTAATTTTAGAGAATTAAAATTAATAGTGTCCTATTCATTCAAATCAGCCTATTTCTCACCAAGGCTCCCTGTGGACTTTCTTATCTTAGGTTAAACTTGACCTTACTTCTACCTCCGTGCTTGTCCTCAAGCTATTTTGCTTGCCCCCAAATGCCAGTGATCTTCCACTTTAGTTATATTAAGCTGTATTGGTATCTCACAACATCCTTCATGACCTGACCATGACTATCTCAATTCTGTCTCCTTTTACTTTCCTCCTTTCTTTCTCTGCTGCAAGTGTGTCACCCTCTTTGCCCCCGTTTCAACTCTAATTCTATTGGCTATCCTTTCACTCTGTACTCCTCTGTTAGTCTGATGGTATCATAACTCCTTCACTCACCCTTTGTCTTTGTTCAAGATAAATCCCTTAGTCTTTTAGAAGCATCCTGCATGGACTTTCATATTTTTATTCTCCTTTTGCCATATATTAGTCATGTTATTCATGATAAAAATACCCTGACCAGAACAAGTCACAACTGTGACTCACAATTGAAAAGCACACTTCATCTTTGTATGGAAGTGGCCTTGGTAGGAGCTCAAAGTACCTGGTCGCCTTGCATCTGTTTTCCAGAAGCAGAGGGTAGTGAATGCTTATACTCCTCTCCCCGCCCCCCCCTTTTTTTACAGTGTCTGGGAGCTCATCCCAGAGAAAGATGCCACTCACAGTGGGTAGGTCTTCTTACTTAAATTATCATGAGCTAATCCATCACTGGTTTATCTAGAGGCCCATTTCCTAAGTGACTGTACATCTCATCCGTTAATATTGTAATTAACCATCTCATTCTATTTACCTTTTCTCTTTCTATACTTTCTTTCTTTGCATTATGTCTTTTTTATCACTTTATTAAGTAAAGATGAAGTATTTTGACCTCTGTCTTTTTGACTTCTCTGTTTTCTAATTGGCTTTGGCAGGCAGGAAAAGTGATGCTGTTCATTGACCTTATTGATTATCAATATGACTCTTAAGTGAAGCATACAAAAATACCACACACAGAACACAAACAAAACAGACATATGTTAAAAGGCTGAAATAAGTATGAATGATGGTGAAAGTAATGTATCTAGGGGAGGATTTTCTAAATAAATTGAAATGTTAACTAATATAAAGTCAATCTAGGAGAAAGGGACACAAAATAAACAACAACACATACACAGATGTACACACACACACACACACACACACACACACACACACACACACACACACAAACCTATGCATACAAAGTAAATATCCTCAAAGATAAGATGATATTTCCTATGAGAAATTTTGGTTTGCTGGATTGGTATGGATGAGAAGAAACAGAAATATTGTACATGAAGAACTATGAATAATTTTAAGTTAATAAACAAGATTAACAAATATACATGTAGACAGAAAACTCAGGCAGCAGAATGCTACAGTACAGTAGATAGGTAGAAAGAGCTGAGAATTTACTGGTGACAAATTTCTATGCATAGGACAGGAGGGGGTATGGGGAGGGTGACACCTCAGACATTCAGACTGTTTGATTAGTTTAATAATTTTAAATCAGTATAAGAGAAAGCTGGATGTTATTAACACAGAGTGGAATGATAAGACTGAAAGTTTAAGACTTCCAGAATTGGATCACTGGAAATAAGAGGCCTATGGGTAGGTATCATAGTAGGCATGATATTCTAGGGTAGGTATGCTGGAAAAATTTTTAATCTAGGGGAAAACAGCCTTTTGTAGTAGGAAAGCATTTTCCTCAAGGGGAAAATAATAGTGCTATGGGATGGTCTGTATGTAAAATGTGTTGCTCTGATTGGTCAATAAAAAAAAACACTGATTGGCTAGTAGCCAGGCAGGAAGTATAGGCAGGACTAACAGAGAGGAGAATGGAGAGAACAGGAAGGCAGAAGGAGTCGCTGCCAACCACTGCCATGACAAGCAGCATGTGAAGATGCCAGTAAGCCACGAGCCACGTGGCAAGGTATAGATTTATAGAAATGGATTAATATAAAATGTAAGAACTAGATAGCTAGAAACCTGAGCCATTAGGCCAAACAGTTTAAATAATATAAGCATCTGTGTGTATATTTTATAAGTGGGCTGTCGGACTGCCGGGGCTTGGCATGACCCAGAGAGAAAACTCTCCAGCTACATAATAGTTCTTTTATTTTTTTCAAATTTCCCATTTGAAGATGGTAAACAATAGTTGGTGAGGTGATAGAACTCTTTTCTTGACTAAGAAAATTATCAAAATTATAGATTGACATGGATATGATAACCCTTCCATGCCAATGTAGGCAAGAAAAGAAAACAAGATGTCAGATTTCCATATTCCATGAAAAGTACAGAGTATCATGGTGTAATTTAAGTGTAAAGATGTGGTGATATATTGTCCCCCAATGTATTGTGCACCCTAATAAAGCTTATCTGAGGATCAGAGGAAAAAGCCAGTCACTATAGAAAAATAGAAATCAGGCAATGGTAGCAATGCCTTTAATCCTATTACTCGGGAAGCAGAGATCCATCCAGATCTCTGTGAGCTCAAGGCTATATTGGGCAACAGAGCCAGGCATGCCTTTAATCTCAGAACTAACCACAGATGTCTGGAGGTCTGTACAGACAGACAGGAAGTGATGTCGCTGGGTGGAGAGAGGAAGTGAGATGCAGAACAGAAAGGCATATAGGCGTGGGTATACAGGAATTAGGTCTCTTTGGTGGACAATTTCCAAGTGGTAAGAATGTAGCTGGCTTCTTTCTGCTTTTCTGATCTCTCTGTTTTTACCCAATATCTGGCTCCAGTTTTTTTTTTTTTTAATTAATAAGACCATAAGACTGTTTAGCAATTCGTCTTACATTAAGATCTGTGAGAGACTACTCTAGCAGGTTAAAGTACACAACTCAAAGAAAATCTGAGAGAAAGCAGGCATTGGTGAAGTAAGAGTGAATTTGAAACTGAGGGGGAAAGGAAATGAAATGGCGGAAGGCACATATAGAGAGGAAATTCAAATTCACACTGCAGCCTGCCTGTGTTTTTATTGAGTAAAGCTGTCACATTGCCAAGTCAGAAAATCATTTATATACCTTATAGAATCTAGTGACTTCTTGCCAAAGTAATAGTGAGCTTATTTTAATGTTCTCACTGGGACTATCAACCACTTGACCATATTGGCTTTACGATCACTTTATAACTAACAGTATTTCAAAAAGGGTTTACATTAGTAAGCTAAGAAAAATAATATCATTTTTAGAACAATGTGTGACATTCATCCACTGGTTTGGTTGGCTTTTGCTTTGATTAGTCGCATTTGCCTTTTCAGGAATTTATTTAATTTATTTTATATGCAATTTCTTCAAATTAGTAAATTTAGTAAGCTTGAATCTTTTTTTTCCCATTTAAAAGAATTGTTTATATACCAAGAGGTTCAATATCAGAGTGAAAAGTCTCACAACCTTTTAGTGACTGTACTATGTTAACACCAAAGCATTTGCCACCTCAACCACTATGGTTTTTAGGACAAAACTCTGAAACTTCATTGATCTCAATTGTTGCGTTTGAAATAGCTGGGTAAAACAAACACAGTCGTTTAGGCTTATATTTACATTTTGGTGAGACTTGCTCCAGTCAACTATAATTATTCCCAATTATTCTTTATATGAATATTGCAAGGTTATCCCATGTTACAGCATTTGTATGTGTATCTTCATGTGTATATAGATGCATATACAAGTATATACACGTATGTGTGAGGTCAGAGGTTAACTTTGGATGTCTTTCCTCAAGTACCACACACATTTTCTTAGGACAAGGTCTCTCATTGGCCTAGGACTTTCCAAACAGGCTATGATGGCAGGTCAAGCCCCAAAGATCTGGCTGTCTCCACCTCCCTAGCACTGGATAACAACTGCACATCACCAACCCTGTAGCTGGAGTTTTCTCCAGTCCTGCTTGAGCCCGCAGCTGCCCAAATAAATACACAGAGGCTTATATTAATTAAAACTGTATGGCCTAATGGCTCACGCTTCTTGTTAGCTAGATCTTACACCTTAAATTAACCCATTTCTATAAATCTATACCTTGCCATGTGGCTTGTGGCTTACTGGTATCTTTACATCTTGCTTCTCCTGGTGGCAGCTCTTTACATCTTGCTTTTCCTGGTGGCAGTGGCTGGCAGCGTCCCCTGATCAGCCTTCCAGTTCCTCTCTTCTTGTCCCACCTATACTATACTTCCTGACATGCTGCTGGCCAATCAGCATTTTATTTATCAACCAAATCAGAACAACACATTCACAGCATACAGAGTGATCGATATCCACAGCATACTCCTGATTTTTTGTGGGGGTTGTAGTGATTGAACTCAGGACCTCATCCTTACAAGGTAAGCACTTTCCCAACAAAGCCATCTCACCACATCTCAGAATTTTAAAAGAATGACAGCTGCAATGGGTGAAATATTATCATTTATTTAGTCATCACAAAATTCTCTGAAAGGAAGATGCTAAGATACTTTCATCCAGTTCTTTTTAACAATAATTGACCTTAGCACTACTGTCTTCTCAGTTCTTACTAAGCTCTGCTTGCAGAGTTCAACATTTTTTCTTGAATTTTAGAATCCTCAAGACTTCTCTTAAAACCATCACTAGTCAGGTTCTTGACAGCAACACCTCATTTTCTAGTACTAACTTCTGTATTAGTTACTTATCTGTTGCTGTGACAAAACACAACAGAGGCAATTGATGGAAGGATTCATTTGGGTTCAAGGTTTTAGATGGATGAATCCATCATGGCTGATTGGAAGCCTGGCAACAAATGATAGGCACAGCAACTGGATACAAGAAGACCAAGAGTTCACATCTTCTACTTCCTCCAGAAAGGTTGCACTTCCTACAACTCTTGACCCGAGTCTCCATATGCAGGCAAGTTAATCACCATCAGCCACCCATCACAATAATGAAATCAATTGTAGTGCTTAAACCACTTAAGGAGCATCAAATAATAATCAATAAAAAATTACTTCCCTTTGGTTAAGTGAGTTTGGGGATCAATGGCTATGATGTACTTTAAAACCTGTAACGCTCACTGCTGTAGTATCAAGTATAAGAATCCCTACAGGAAATTGTGTTTATTTTCTTTAAATCAACTGCTTCATAATAGACCTATTTGTAGCCTGAGTACTGTTCTTATGGCACCTGTATGAACATCTTTTATGACCCAATTTGAGAAAAAAACAATATGGTCCCAAAAGAATATAATTAAGGTACTTTGTATGAACCTCAAGCAAATCAAGTAGCTGGTTCAAAGACATGCTGCTGGTTTATGCCAGTTCCTTGAACTGTCTGTACATCTCCCAACTGTTAATAATTGAAAATAAAAATTATTGATTGGTATAAGGTATTATGATGCATCACCATAAATGAGTACTTTATAATCTACTTTTTAATTTTTAAATTCCTGATGTGTTCAAGTGATACCACATCACAAACAGTGAAAAAAATTACTCCCAATCCCTACACCATCAGAACAAAGTAGAAGTATTCCTTGCTCTTATCTATATTTAATATTTACTGAGATCCAAAAGTTCCAAAGACTCCTGGTTCTCTCAGCCACTCTCGGTCCCTCTGCTGCCTCATACATTCCTGCAGATAAGCCTGGGGAATATTGAATATTGCCTTCAGGGATTTCTCATAGTTTCTAGGACAGCCATGGACACAGAGTATCACTCTACTTCATAGATGTAAGTAGAGTTATATGATTGATTTCCTCTCCACTATTTTTTTTTGATGAATGAACTGAGATCACTTTGAATCTTCATTTCCAGACTGTGTCATTGAGAACTATGTTTCATTGTAACCACTGGTATTTTACCATGAATTGATTATGTAGAAAGATCAGTTGATCGTTTCTTCATGGAGGAGATAGGAAAGAACATCTATCTTGCTAAGCCAAGCTCACCTGAAAAGACCTAAAAGCATGGATCTCAGGCATCAGGTATCATTTGCTTCTCTCATATTATAAGTATATAAGCCTCAGTTTCTGAACTTCTAGTTTCCTGTTATATAGGATTCAGAAAACATTTTGAGTTGGAACAATTATAGTCATTTAAAAATATTTTTTTTATTTCTTGAGATTTATAGTATAATTGAATCATTTCCTCCATCCCCTGAGCCCATGTTTTTGTTGTATTGCTTTATACTGATTGATATTTTGCCAATTTTATACATGTGTACAATGTACTCGGATTATCATTCCCTTATGTCACTCCCATCTCTATCAATCCCTATTCACTGACCTCACTCTCTTTCCAAAATCCCTGGCTCTCAATTCTGTTTCATGACCCATTTAGTTCAATCGAGGCTGTCTGTGGGTTTGTGGGACCACTGACTAGATCAGAGATATACACGGAAGCTTTGTGTTGTCATCAGCAGGCAGACAACTGCAGGCAATGGTTCCTTCTCTCTCTCAATCTACCATAGCAAATAGTCCATAACAGAGGGGTAGGGACCCCTGAGCCCTTCCTCCATCCATGTTTGATTACTGTTGGAACCATTCTTAGGCATACTCCATGCAGGCATCTGCAGTGGCTGAAAATTCATGACTGTAAAGGCTGTTTCTTGCCCAGATGATGTCATTTCATAGCCCTTCTCCTTTTCTTGTTTCTACAGGTGCTCCAAGTTTAACATTCCAAATCAGAAAAGTGAAACTAGAATCCACATTTGAGGGGGAACATGCAGTGCTGAATTGGTTTGCTGTGAGAGGGCAACCTCACTCAATATAACTTATTTCATTCCATTCCTTTTCCTTGCAATTTTTTTATTTTCTTTTTTTCTGCTGAATAGAATTCCATCATATTTAAAATGTACCACATTTTCATTATCTACTTATCAGTTCATGGATATCTAGGGTAATATTATTTTATAGCTATTGTGAATCATTGACAATGTACATAGATGAGAACATTTTTCTGCAGTAGGATAAACAGTCCTTTATATGCCCAAGAGTGGGAGAGTGGGCCATGCACAACTATTTCTATTGAGTACTTTTCTATCTATGTTCATGAGAGATATATTGGTCTTCACCTTCATTGTTTTTTGCTCTATCTTTGTCTGATTTTGGTACTACATTAATGCTTGCTTCATAGGAGACTTGGGGGTATTACTTCCATTTCTAGTTTGCAGAACAGTTGAGTAACATTTGTTATAGTATTGCTTTAAAGGTCTGGTAGAATTCGACCATGGCTCCATCTGAACTTTTTTTTTTTAATTACTACTTTAATCTCCTGTTTTTGCAATAGGTCTATTCACTTTATTAATCCATGCTATTTCTAATTATTTTGAATGTAGGCACTTAGAACTATAAATTTTCCCCTTAGGACTGCTTTCATTGAATCTCAGAGGTTTTGGTGTGATGCATTTTCATTTTCATTTAATTCCAAGAATTTTAAAACTTCCTTATTGGTTTCTTCAATGGCCCATTTAAATACAAAGTGGTTTAATATCCATGAGTTTGTGTATTTTTCTGGAATTTCTTTTGGTTTAACCACATTTCATTGTGGTCAAACAGAATGCATGAAGTTATTTCAATTTTCTTAAATTTGTTGAAATTTTCTTTGTGTCACAATGTGTGATCTATTTTACAGAAACATCTATGTGCTGCTGAGAAGAATGCGTATTAGGGTAAAATATTCTTTATATGTTGGTTATATCCATTTGGTAGATGGTGTCATTTATTGCCAATGTTTCTTTATTTTTTGCCTGTATAACTCATCTATTAGTGAAAATGAAGCATTGAAGTCACTTGGTATTATTATGTTAGTGTTAATCTGTGGCTTCATGCGTACTATTGTTTGTTCTTTGAAATTAAGTGTACCCAGGTTTCATGTACACATATTTAGAATGTCAATGTCTTCTTAGTAGATTGTTCCCTTGTTCATAATGAAGTGACCTCCTTTACCTGTTTTGACTAATTGGACTGCAAGATATTCTGTCAGATACCCACTTGTTTCCTGGTTCTACTTGCTTGGAATAATTTTTTCATCACCTTACCCTAAAGTAATGTCTACTCCTGAAGGTGAGATGTGTTTGCTACAGAGAGCAAAAGGATGGATCCAATTGGTAAACCTTTATCTTTTAAGAGGAAAACTGAAGCAACTAACATTCAATTATTATTGAGAAGTGCTTTAATTGCTTTCCTATGGTTGATTTTGTGGGGTTTGTCTTATTGTATAACTACTATTCAAGCACCATTTATTTTCTCCCTGTCATCTCTGGGGTATGCTTATCATTCCTTTCACTTTGAAGCATTCTTTCCAGTATTCTTTGTCATGCTTGTTTGTTGGCTATAAATCCCTTTGTCCCATTTTTGACATGGAACGTTTTCCTTTCTCTTTCAACTATGACAGTCAGTTTTGTCA